AAAACTCATGTCATATAAACCCCAAAAATAACAATAAGTTCAAATATTTGTGCAGAGAAACACAAATCTATTACAGAAATCTTTTTTAATTGATGAACTCTTTCTTTTACAAAATATTATAATATTATGAACAACCTAAAACTTTAAGAAAAATACAATTTCAACACAAAGTTTTAACATGAACTTGTATGTAAATAGGAATAAGTCAATTTTTCTTGTAAAATCCTGCACTCGGCTCCACTTTTCTCATGTTGGACATTTTTCTGATGAGGGTGTCACGGTCAACAGTCAAAACGATCGTCCTTTAAGAGCGTTTGGAAAGAGACAAGTCTTCATTTGTGCTGCTCTGGTGGGAGGGGCCACGTACAGAGACGCTGGAGACGCTGCTGTGATAAACACCACAGAAAATTAACAAGATTTTAATAGAAAATATAATTAAAATATTTTAGTAGAAAATCACCCAAGGGCCACATTAAAGGTCTTGGAGGGCCGGATCTGGCCCCCGGGCCTTATGTTTGACACCTGTGCTCTACACTAAGTTTTATTCATGTTCACCATTTTCTACACTTTAACACACACATACAGGAGATTTTAAATATATGAAGCAACATGTCTGGAAATATGTAGCAAAGAAAAAAGTGAAATGTCTCAAGATTTTATTTTTTTATGTTCAAATCCTCAGAGTATTCACCCGATGCTTTGTCAAAGTGCTCTCAGTGAGCTTCAACTCTCCTGAAATGGTTTTCACTTCACAGCTGCGCCTCAGGGTAGAGAAATGCCAGAAGTAAAGAGCAGAGGTCAAAGAAAAAGGTGGATATTTGATTTAAAGTGTATTTTTTGCTACATTCCATCTGTGTCCATTCATAGTTTTCATGCCTTCAGTGAGAATCAACAATGTAAATAATCATGGAAATAAAGATAAATAAATGAAAATGTGTCCAAACTTCAGACTGGTCATGTGTGTGTCCCTGAGCCTCATCCAGAGCAGCTCCTGGAGTTTCAGCAGCAGAACTTCTCTTCTGGATCGTCAGTTTGAGCAGACGGCTTCAGCTGAGGAGAGAAAAACCTAGAAGCAAACTGAACACTTCACAAACCCGAGAACAGAGCGGCGCCTCAGATCAGAGAAGTCCAGGTGAAAGGACTCATCTCACTTTCTAATCAAATCAAATTTAACAGCATTGGCAATGAATAAAACAAGAAAACTTTGTGAATGGACTCTTCTGTGTCCCCCACAGACCCCAGGCACCACATCACCAGAGAAAAAAAGAGCGCACAATAAAGTTTACACACTTACTTACTTTCTTTCAGCTTAAAAAGTCATATTAATAGTATTGTGTTTATTACCCGGGGCCTTTTCCATGTGATTTTAAGAATCTGATGATATAAAAGTAAAGAGATGAGGAAAAACGAGGGACAAACACAGTTTTGGACCCAAACAGAACAGGCCGATCAGCTCCGTCTGCTGCTCCTCATGTGAAAATTCTGCTGCTTAAAGACAGATCCTTCCTTAGAAACTGACTCAATTCTCTTGTCAGTATAAAATCCTAAATTAAAGGAGGCATGTTTTATTACTTGGGCTGAAACATTTGATTTAACACAGGAAAATCAGATCAGTTTTCTGAACTCAGTTTTGTATTTACACTTTTTCTCCAAACACCACTTTCATACTAGGCAATGTGTCTTGCGGCAAAAGTGTCTTGCCTAAAAACACAACGGCATTTTTTGACATTGGCCCCGCGCTGTGGCACTTGATTTTCCCAGTGGTCTTCAATCCAAGTACTAACCAGGTCAAGTTCTTCTGAGCTTCTGAGACCTGACAGGATCAAACTTTGACAAGGAGGATTGGTCATATTCTACAAAAGTTAAACATATTAGTTTTCATTGAGTGCGTTTACATGCACATCAATAACCCGGTTATGATCGGGTTTTTTGAGTATCCCGGTTTCTTGATGGTGCATGTAAACGCAGTATCCCGGTTTCAGTAACCCGGTTATGGCAGTATCCCGGTTATTAGAAACCGGGTTACTGTAGCTGGTTTATTCCGATAGTAACCGGGATACTTGTGGCATGTAAACGCAGTACCCCGGTTACTGCAACATAAAGTTGAGTCGCATGCGTCCAAAAGACACTTTCCAGCCTTTCAACACAACAGTAGTGACATAAATAAATTGACCAACATAAATAAAGTGACCAAACGAGTGAAATGACTGTAAAATAAAGAGCTGCACTAAACCTGCACACGTACAATCTGCACTCGTACGACCTGCACTCGTGTGACGCTGAAAAGCTAAAACATGAACTATCTCCTATACTGTATACACACAGAACACACTTACCATCATCAGCACCTCTTCTGTCACAGAGAAATAACACACATAATCCACAGAGTCGTGTCATTTAGTCCAAAAGAAACTGATCACATCAGCGGCGCAAGGTGCGAGTTGTTTTTTATCGCCGCTAACAGTTTATGCTAATTAGCCAAACGGTCTTAAGTTTCGTTTCTGTAAAACGTAAACAAATGTGATCAGAGCTGAATGATCTGATCAAACGGGCTGATGTGTCTATAGTGTTTATGGTTTATATGTTGTAAAGTTGAGTTTATTTATGCAGAAGATTTTAATGAAGAATCTGCACAGTGGATTGTGGGAGATCTCGTAGCTCCTTAGCTTCTTATGCTAAAGGAGCTCACGGTTTGTATTTTTCCTGGTTTATGAAATTGATTTAAGTTAATTTTTGCGCCTGCGCATTTGTAAGATTATGTCAAGAAACCGGGATACTCCATTTGATCATGTACACGCGGATATGAGTGTCCCGGTTTCTCAGTGCTCATGTAAACACAGTAACACGAATACTGACATAACCGGGATATGGCTAATAACCGGGATACTGATGTGCATGTATACGCACTCAATGTTGTGAATATTTGAGGACTAATTAGTAAAGCTTTTAATAGGGCCGGGCACATTAACACGCTAATTTTGTGTTAACTAATGAATTCTTTATCACCGACAATTATTTTTCTCCCCTTAATGCAGTTTTTATTGTTATTTTTTTTATTGTAAACGTCTGTTGCTCACTGGCTTTTATTTTGAAAAAGTCCATCGTGAGCGAGTCTAGAATGTTGCTCACAGGAAACAGAAAAGAAAAAAGAACAAAAGCAGGATAAACAAACATGGGTAAGGAACTTTTACACGGCAATTTTCATTTGCAGTGCGGTGTTACAACTAGAGCCCGACCGATATGGATTTTGTTGTGGCCAATATGAAACCGATATAATGGGAGTTGGAGCTGCCGATATAATCACCGATATGTTTAGTGATGTAAAAATTCACTGTAAATCTTGAATTGTTTAAAAAACTTAGGTTTGGCTCTAGTGGATTTTAAATTGGGTTTATTTAGGCAACATTTATTGTTATTCTGACTCTTTACGTCATATTTACAGACAGTAGGTCGGACTAATGGCATTTTTGCATCACATTCTAGCTACTAGTGATGGGGATTCCAGTTTTTTTTTTGGAGAACCGGCTCTTTTGGCTCGGCTCACTGAAGCAGTGACTCTTGAGATTGTTTTGTTGCAAACAGGACTAAACCAAAACTGAACTAGGACTGAAAAAGGACTAAACCAGGACTAAACCAGATCTAAACCATGTGTAAAACAGGACTAAACCAGAACTGAACCAGGTCTGAGTGTCGGGACTCGGTTTCTATCTCTCTCCCTCACTCGAGCCCAAGATTAGTCCTGGTTTATTCATTTTATGCTGAACTGCAGCCAAATATGCATTTTTTTTTTTATCCTGTGCACACGCAGATTTCTGAAAGTTTCGTTTTCAGCCGCTGCTGCTGTCAAACTACGGGTCTACAAGCGGCTTGAAGAGAAAAAGTGAGAAAAAGAGAAAACACGGCTCCCAATAAGAAACATGCTCCCGTTGTTCGCTTCAAAGAGTCGGATCTAAGAGCCGCTTCGATCGTGACCGACCCATAACTCCTAGCTAGTAAATAAACTACCGCTATTAGCCTTTAGCCGTAAAAACGTGCGCGCCGCGGTAATTAATTATATGCATAAATGTGGATCATTCACACGTCTATTCACAGCTCATTTACATGTCAATACAGGTCCAGTAACAAATATACGGCCAATATAGTCCCTTTACAATAGGCCAATAGAAAACAGACTGTTTATGTGCGGGAGCTACAGCAGCTAACAGCTAATCACAAATAGCCAAAACTAGCTTCAAAGTCGACATATTTCCAACACTCAGCCTCACACAGGCTCCTCCCACATCACAAGTCTGAACTAATAAATGTCCTTTTAATCCAGACTCAAACCGATTGTCTGTAAAAAGAAAATAATCTCAGTGTTGCGCACGGCTGCGGGTGTAAACAAACACACGAGTGAAGTGACGTGACTCTGTGGTGTGTTCAGGGACAGTACGGACTCAGACAAAGACAAATTACACCGCAGATAAATACTGATGTGGAGCCACATATTTGGACATTTATCTGTCTGTAAGTTGGTTTAAATGAACATAATGTAGAGAGTCTAAACTTTATAACGAGGTATAACATGCCCATGTGAAATATCGGCCCATATCAGCAAACATATCGGCCGATAGTCGATATGTCTCCAGGTGCCCATATCGGCCAATAATATCGGCCAGCCGATATATCGGTCGGGCTCTAGTTACAACATTTGTAACACTGCACCACTGAATTATCTCATCACTGGAGATTCACAAGTTTGGAGAATCACCTAAATGCAATACAGACATGTTAGATGCAAAGTGTCAGAGCCGTTGCTTTTGTTTATATTCCCAATAAAAGTGCACTATACGCTACTTTTGCTTAAACACATTTCCACAGAGACTACATGAAGGAGCAGCTTTGGTCAGCTGGATCCTTTGAAGCATACAGCTGCTGCATTAAAATTCTGCTTCAGTTTGTCTCCCCTCCTTGAACATCTCCAGTTTCTCAACACGAACAAACAGACAGGACAGCGCCGCCACGAGCCGACCACAGTGTGTTTTATTGGGTGCTTCGGTAATACAAGTGCACGACAAACCACTCCGCAGCTGTAGGGGGCGCCAGTCACATTTACAAGTCCTGCCTCTGTCACCGGCCGACCTTTCGCCCGAGCGGTCTGCCTCCAAAAAGCTCTGAAAAAACAAACGTTACAGTACAAACCCGAACGCAAACGGCAGTAAAACCACGGGTCCGGCCTGTTCCATGCAGAAAACAAACTCCAGAAGCAGAAATCAGGGAAAGTAAAAACTGAATCTGCACGGAGGATCAGATCAGGAGCCACGAGAAGAAAAAAAAAAAAAAAAAACAGGTGCAAAGAAGTCCTCCGCGAATCCAACGCTCGGGAATCGGAAATAAAAAAGTCCCAGGACTACTCTTCGTATAAAAAAAACAAATCTTCCGAGTCGAAAGGGGAGTAACAGAGAAACACGTGGAGTTTTTGTACACGGGAAGGACACGGAGGGAGGGGGCGGGGCGAGTGTGCTTTGACGGACAGGTCTGATGAACGGGAGGGGGCGGGGCCAGAGGTAGACAGAGAGAGAGAGAGAGAGAGAGAGAGAGAGTAGGGGGAGGGGCTGAGAGGGACAGGGGGCGGGGTCAGGTGAGAGAGTCTATGTGGCGTATCGCTTGGTCCACTGTTTGGCTATTCTGTCGTGTTCCGTTCTGTTGGTCAGATACTGTGTGGCGATGCTCCCGACCAGAGGGTCCGCTGCAAAACACAGAGATAAAAACAAAATGATTATGTTTTTTCACCAATATTTTTATAAATTTTCTTTTATTCACTAAACAACACAATTTATCAGTCGCAGGTAAGGCAAAGCTCCATATTCAGTGACCGTATGAACTTTAAAAAGGGAAAATGGGTAGAGAAAAGTAAATAAATAAATAGATAAATAAAAATAAAATAAAAATTATTACAAAAATAAAATAAAATATGAATAAAATAAAATATAGTAATAATAATAAAAAAATTAAAATAAAAAAAAATATGTAATAAAATGGTCTCGGTCTCGGTGTCCCAGTCTCGGTCCCGGTCTCGTCCCGGTCTGAGTCTCGGTCTGAGTCCCGGTCTCGGTCCCGGTCTGGTGTCCCGGTTTCAGTCTCAGTCCCGGTCTCAGTCTTGGTCTGGTCTCGGTCTCAGTCCTGGTCTGGTCCCGGACCTGGATCAGTCCTGGTTCAGTCCGTATGCAGCACAAAATCCATCATCGCAGTCACAGAAGTCACGTAAACAGGAAACGGCCGTTATCCGTTTTTTCCATTCTTCATTTAAACACAAAATCGAAAACTGAAAAAACTAATCATTATCAGTTTTTTTTTTTCATTTTCTTATTTTTGGTTTTATATAGAAAAGCGAATGAACGAATGACACAGATTATAAGACGAGCACTGAATGTGAAAACTACAACATCAGCCTCTGACGTCGCAGGCTGAGAGAACAGAACCCGAGCCGCAGTGAGTCCTCGGATAAAGCGCCGACGTGGACTTTTCTGGAGCGCGTGGGAGGGAGTTACCTGGGTTACAGTCCGTGAGCAGGGAGCAGATGGACAGCAGCACCTTGGAGATGGTGAGGGCCGGACTCCAGTTGTCCTTCAGGATGTCCAGGCAGATCACGCCCTGACTGTTGATGTTGCAGTGGTAGATCCGGGTACGAAACGTCACCTGCGCACAGACAGACAATCACAACACGAACTCCGCAAATAAACACACACGTCCAACTGATAAGACTTAAAGTGAGTGAGGCGTTTATGGTTCTCGAATGTTGACTTAATCTGGTGGAATAACTTCTTTTCATTCACGTTTTTAAATATAATAATAAAGTTTCATGCATCAGTGTGAACGAAAATGAGCAGAAAGAAAAATAAACTTGTAATATCTTCCCCCTTTTCACACAAAATAAAACATTTCCAACACTTCAACACTTCCAACTCCATTTATAAGCAACTTTTTTATACAATATCAATAAACACAATGTTAATTAACACAAAAGGACGGTTCAGACTTGTTTGACATTTCTTTTAAACACCTGAATAGATTCTGAAGTTTTGAGTTTTTCATTTAGACACCTTTGATTGAAACACATTTTTCCACTGTTTTTGTTCTGAACCTGTTTTTTAATTTCAGTTCCTTTCAAATTATAATGATTTTCTCTCTTTGTAAATTTTCTTTGATGGGCAAGATTTGCTGATTTGCTTTATACATCATTTTTAAAATATGAAGTTCTACTATTTCACCGAATTTCAGAATCTTTAATTGTACAAATATTGGATTTGTTGAGTTTCTGTTTCCACTTCTGCCGATGATTCTTACAGCTCTGTACATTTTGTAAATATAAATTATTAGGGCTGGGTATCATTAAAAGTTGCCGATACGATACATACCTCGATACACAGGCCACGATACGATACATATCATGATACAGTGCACTTTCGATTTGATATGATATATTTCAAACGGAATCGATACAGTTCAATAAAAAATAAAGGCTAAATCATGGACGTGATACTAAAAGTCTTTGTTAAACCACTTCTTGTGCAAAGTTCATATGAAACACAAACATTTTAATCATCAAAACTGTGAAAATGTCAAATGTGTCGGATAAATGAGTTTCCTTTCACTCCACAAGCAACAAAACTGTAGCTGTAACAAAATAATTTAGTAAAACACACCTAAAAGTACTCTTGGTGATATATCGATACAGCAGCCCACGATATCGATACTGTGTCATCACATTAAACGATAGGATATATCGATATTACGATATTTTTGCACACCCCTATAAATTATATTTTTCTACCAAACAAGAAGTAATTTGAGAAGAACACTGAAAAATATGTTGGAAATTACAGGAAGTAGAGAGTTCCACTTACTTCACTAGGGAGAATTTAATCCAAGTGTCATTGTTCCCAGGTACCAATTATGGCAGACATGTCAAACTCAGGCCCGGGGGCCAAATTTGGCCCACAAGATCATATCTAATCTGTATTAGAGCGGCCTGCTGGCTACAGATAGACTATAGATACATTATTTATTTAAAATTTTGTTAAAGTTTTGTTATTATTTCATATTTTGTTTGTTCTGGATTCAATGTTTAAGCAAAACTATTATTAAACATTTATTTTAATAAGAAAAAGTTCTAACATTACATATCTGGAAAGAGAGAAAACAAGCAGATGATGTTGACATTTTTAAATCAATATTTAGTTTGGCCCACGACTTAGTCCAGTCTTTAATTTTGCCCTTTGTGAATTTGAGTTTGACATTCCTGAGTTATGGAATCCTCTTGGGTGATGTTGCTATTTCCAACCAAGAAGTAAAAAAGTTTAACCAAAAAAACTGCCAAACTGGGACAAAAAGTGCAAAATATTCAATAAAATCTATATTGATCTTTGAACTGAACTGTGTCTAATAAAGTAGTGCCTCTTAGTGACTTCTGGTGGAACTTAGAAACATTCCAACGAAAACATTTATGAATTAGGCCAATGTCAAGAACACAGTGACTCTAAATACTGTACAATACTGTTAAAAAAAACAGTTACCAGAATCAATAAATTACAGACTTAAACATGTAGTTATTCCCTTCTTCGACCTGCTGCAGCTCAAATGTGATTATAAAACAACAAAAAAGAAAAACAAAGATCCTTGTTTGCGTTAAGAAAAATATGAATGAATAAAGAGTCAATATAGTAATTATGATGATAGTAATTATCACGACTCAAATCAGACGACACTTCCATTTTGCTGGACACGTTCTTCTCACACCAGCAGAGGGCGCTGTGCTGCAGACGCCCACAGCCTGTTCCAATTACCCCCCGTGAGTGTGTGTGTGTGTTTTTGTGTGTGTGTGCGTCTGGTTGTAACAAAGCTCTGGTCTAATCAGAAAACTCCACTTCACTTTGACCTGTGACCTGTGACCTTCTCAGAGCGCACACAGTCTTCAATCAGCCCCAGGTGCAGAACAAACTCCCCCCTGTACCCCCCTGTACCCCCCTTCTACCCCACATACCCCTCCATACCCCCCAAAAGAGGCGGCCACTGTGCACAAACTCCCATGTGTTTTGTGTTTTCTGTTCAGACGGGTCGGAGTGGAACAGTAGCTACAATCATATTAGTTTCAGTCTCGGTTTTGGTTTGTTTTTGTTACAATAAAAAGCTGAAAAAAATAAATTTAACGCTTTGGAAAATATACAAAGTTGGCTAAAATGCGCTTTGTAAATATAAATAATGTAATAAAAAAGGTAAAAAAAAATACAGTCAGATAAAAAAGGAATAGTACGGATGCTCTTTAAGAGGCTGTAAAGGACTAAAACTAAACAAAAACCTTTCCGTAGATTGAGGCGACGTTTATATGATGAGAGTCTAAACAGAAGACGCAAAAGTGGCGTCACGATGAAATTTTATTAATCGATCGTCGGGAGAATGAACAATCGATTTTTGATTAATCATTAACGTTTTTATATAATAAGTACAATCATCATTATTATTACTGTTACAATCTTCCTGAACATGTGAGACAGGATTCCGTAAAGCACTTTGAATTACTTTGTGTACGAATTGTGCTGTACAAATAAACTTGCCTTGCCTACTGTTACTAATCTGCATAAATAAACTCAACTTTACAACATATAAACCGTCACCACTCTAGAGCCACATCAGACCGTTTGAAATTATAATGTGTTTAATGCAGATTTGTGCAAGTCTCACAGAAACGAAACTTAAAACCGCATGACTCATTTGCATAAACTAAGCTCTTGTGCGCTGATGCGGTTCAGTTTCTGTCAGACTAAAGGACACAATCTCAGTGGAATATGAGTGTTCTTTCTGTGAGTCTGTTCTGTGTGTCGTGATGTTTTCAAAGATCAGACGTGTGCAGGTTTGGCGCAGCTCTTTATGTTGCAGTAATCGGGATATTGCGTAAACATGCACCATGATGAAACCGGGACAAAGATGTGCACGTAAACACTCTCATTAAGTGGTACAGCGATCTCCAAGGAGGAGCCAGAGCCCAAACGTGGGACTGACGCCGCAACTCCAGTGTTTGTGTCAGACGCAGCTTCATATCTACACACAGAAACCTACATTCGGTTTGTCGATTAGAAATGAACGTAATCGACGAAAATCTTAATGATCACTTATCGATTAGTCGACTAATCATGCCCTTCCCTAGTCGCGTCTTCACTTTTTATTCCGCGTTTAGTCGAGAGTTTTCAGGAGTAAATCTGCTGCAGACGGTGACGCAAAAGTGTGTGGAATTGGCTTGTGTGTGTTTGTACTTAAAGCAACAAGAGCGTCTTTGGACATTTAGAAGTTTTCACGTCACACATTTTCATCAGCTAGTCCTTCCATAAAGTCGTCCCTCCGTCGACTGGTTCTCCAGGTCTCGTCCAGATCCGTCTGACTTGACTGCGACGACCTGGCGCGTCCAGAGTTTGACAGAGGTGATTGTAGATCCTTCTCTGTTCACTAATAGTATCTCTGCACATTCTCTACATTTGTTGTTTTGCCTCCTGTGAGTTTATTCGAGCTGCCAGAGCAACTAGAAGGTTCGACACATGGAAATGATCCCACATGTTTGTTTCTGTGTTCTGTATTTATGTGACGTAAACGAGTATGTGATGTGAGCATATAAATATAAATAATAATAGGGATATAACATTAACTGAAATATCGTATCGTCAGAAGTGTCACAATAGTATCGAGAGCTGTCGCAATATATTCGAATTATAAGTTCCTTTGCTTAAATGCATGGCTCTTTAGTAGGAACTAAGGATGGGCATGATTAGTTGATTAATCGATAATTGATCATTAAGAATTTCATCGATTACGTTCATTTTAATCGACAAACCGAATGTAGGTTGCTGTGCGTAGCGTGACCAAACAGGGGTCCGTACATGTAGCTCTTTGCACTCAGAAGGAGCGAGACACAAACAGTGGGTCAGTCTGCAACGCAAATGCGTATTTAACGATGATTTGTACAAGAAATTCCACGCTTTCCGTTGCGTTGGGACAAGTGTGAGTCCATGTGCACAGTGTATAAAGCAGCACATATGTTTCGGTGTCCAGAGGGAAAAAGTTTTTCCAGGTGAGAGTCGCTCAATGTGGATGACGAGTCCCCGCCCCCCTCCCCCCGTACGGTGTCCTGGTTTTGACAAACGCAAATCTAGTCACACTAACCTGTATTCACCTGAGTCATGTCTTTTAATCCAACAGAAGTTGAACCACATCAGCGACACAAGAGCTGGAGTTTTATCTTCGCTGAGTTTATGCAAATTAGCGATGCGGTTTTAAGTTTCGTTTTTGTGAGATTTGCGCAAAACTGCGTTAAACACATTATAATCTCAAACGGATTGATGTGGCTCTGGAGTCGTTACGGTTTATATGTCGTAAAGTTGAATTTATGTATGCAGGTTAGTAGTGCAGATAGTAATAATAATGATGATCATTTTAATATAAACATGTTAATGATTAATTGATAATCGATCGTTAATTCTTCCGACGATCGATTAAGAAAATTTCATCGAATGCCCATCCCTAGTATTTAACAATGACTTGGACGAGAAATTCCACGCTTTCGGGACAAGTGTGAGTCCATGTGCACAATGTACAAAACAGCACATATGTTTCGGTGTCCAGAGGGAAAAAGTTTTACCAGGTGAGAGTCGCTCAATGTCGATGTCGAGTCCCCACCTCCCTCCCCCCGTACGGTGTCCTGGTTTCAAACACAAATCTGGTCACACTAACCTGTATTCACCTGAGTCATGTCTTTTAATCCGACAGAAGTTGAACCACATCAGCGACACAAGAGCTGGGTTTTTTTTCCCTTCGCTTAGTTTATGCAAATTACCAATGCGGTTTTAAGTTTTGTTTCTGTAAGATTTGCACAAAACTGCATTAAACACATTATAATGTCAAACGGGCTGATGTGGCTCTAGAGTGTTTATGGTTTATATGTTGTAAAGTTGAATTTATTTATGCAGATAGTAATAATAATGATGATGATTTTAATATAAAAACGTTAATGATTAATCGATAATCAATCGTTAATTCTCCCGATGATCGATTAAGAAAATTTCATCGAATGCCCATACCTAGTAGGAACAGCTTATGAACATTGGGAACTACATTTCCCATGATTCATTTCAGCGCAGACAACATGAAGAAATATGTTTTTTACCTGAATTCTTGAGATTCTGACAGTAATAATTCGCACCAAAATCTTATCAACGTATCTATCTAAAATCGCAGTAAATATCGTACCGTCAGATGCATATCGTGATAATATCGTACCGAGAGAGTTGGATATCGTTACATCCTTAATAAATAATGTAATAAAAAGGTCAAACAAATACGCTTACATAAAAAAGAATAGTACAGATGCTTTTTAATAGGCTGAAAATGACTAAAACTAAATAAAAACATTTCTGTAGAGTCAGATTTAAGTCAGATCATTTCTTATTTGTCCTGACTTTCTTCTCTCTTTGTCTCAAATAAACCGACACCTGTTGAACATTCGTGCTTTGCTTAATCCAACTAAATGTGGCCGTTATAAGAGAGAGCTGGAGTGATCTGAGCAGTGCTGTGGATAATGAGCGTAAAAGCAGCAGGAGTTTACACGAGGCTCTGCTCAAAGGCCGGAGTGGTGGTCCAAATGCCCGTCTGTTACACGCTCGGCTCATCTCGTGACCAAGAAAGAAGCGGTGCCAAGTTTCTACACGCCAAGAGTTTCCCTGAGGATTTAAGAGGAACATTACACCGACACCAGACTCACTACGCTGGCTCCAAATCAACTTTCAAATCGATTTAAGCGCAGTGTTTCCCCACGCACGGACCACGAGGACGCAACTCCAGGCCCGTCCTGACCAGACGTGGAACCAAGTCGCTGTTTCAGCAAGTCTCAAGTCTTTCACCTCAAGTCCGAGTCAAGTCCCAAGTCAAAGTCCAAGTCGAGTTCCAAGTCCAAGTCCAATCTTTGAGCTTCAAGTCAATTCAAGTCCTTAAACCAAGTATCAATATATGCTTTATTTATGATAGCAATTTATATTTTATGGTATGATATTTTTCTTTTATATTTATTATTTATATTTTTATGGCATATTTATTATTATTATATTATATTATTTATTATATTATTATATTTATTATATTTTATATGGCATATTTTATGGCATATTTTTAAATTAAATTTATTTTTCCTTTTTAAATGTCTTGACAAGATCTTAGTGCAAATCATTACGATCAAAACAGAAAGAATTCAGATTTTAAAATGTTAATAATTTTTTTTATTAATGTACTTCTCTGTAGTTCCCTGTTTTACTGTATTGTTCTGTATATTACTGTAGTACTTTTGAGGATACAGCAGTCCAAGTCGAGTCCCAAGTATTTGTTTATTTTATCAAGTCAAGGTGTCAGAATTGTGACGCAGCTTCTTTACCTCAAGCAAAATGAGCCAAAAAAGAGATTTAACTGACTCTGAAAAGTCCAAAATTGTAAAAAAAAAAAAAAAAAAAAAAAAAGTCTTTCAGAGGCCTGCAGCACTGTTGAAACTGTAAAGATATTGGGGCGTGATCACAAAACCACCAAACGTTTTGTGGCAAGAAACGTGTTGAGATTTGAGAAGAATCAAACATGAAGCTACAGGAACAGCGTGGTCATATTCCAGAACTGCAACTTTCTTTACCAGAGCCACAAAGCTGTGAAATTCTTTACCTGAGGAACTAAGAACAGTGAACTCTGCAGGGACTTTCAAATCTACGTCAAAAATGTATTTATATAGAAGAGTTTTTGTACAGTCGTGGTGGTGAGCAGAGCTTTCGATCAAACAAACTGTGCATGTGTGACCTCCTCCTGGTGAAAAGCCTGTGGAAGAATCTGTGCTGTGGGACTGACCTTTGGAGGTTTGAAGGGATAGTCTGGAGTGAAGGCGATGTCCAGGAAGAAGACGCCTCCCTCGTACACGGAGCCGGGGGGGCCCAGGATGGTGGACCTCCACTCATAGATGTTGTCTCCTTTAGGACCAGCACTGCACAAAACACACAAACGCAAACAGGATTTAACCAAAGATCCACACAGAAAACACACGGGCAGGTAGAGAAGAAGAGATTTCACTTTTTAGAATCTGGAGAAGACTAGAGTAGTGATTTTAAAGGCCAAAAACAGAACAAAGTGAAGAGAGAAGCAGCATATTTTATATATTCTGCATCATTATTGTAAAATTACATCCCTGCACTGTCATTAAATGGTCTATTTTTGAACTTTTTTCACAAATAAACCACGTGGGACTTTAAAGGAAACCCAACAGTGTGATGGGTGAGTGGTTTTGTTTGTTTGTTCGTTCATGGTGACTCTGGGCTTTGTTCAGTTGTGGTGTGTAGGGAGGGTGTGTCTGGGACCAACGGATTGTCGGCGTGTTCGCAGTGACTCAGTTGTTCAGTCGTGTCTAGAAGCGGCACGTCGCGCTCGCTTTTTTCGGTTCGTTCCTCCGTTCCGTTCCTCGTCGGCGTGGAGTGATGAGTGTGTCTGTGGGTGTGTTTCGCTGTGCGGTCGCTGTCTGCTCCGTGTGTGTTTGTGTGTTCTGCGGTTGGTGCGGCTTTGTAGTTTACTGAAGTCGTACTGGGACACCCGAGTGGATTCGTGTATGGGGCGCTCTGGATTGTGGCGCAGTCGTTTTTTGATGGGGTTGGAGGCTTAAGAGCGCGTCTAAGGCTACGTTCAGACTGCAGGGCTTAAGGCTCAATTCTGATTTTTTTGTGAAATCCGATGTTTTTTCGAGGTCGTTCACATTTCCAATTAAATGTGACTTGTATGTGACTCCAGTGTGAACATTAAACGTCCCAAAAGTGTCCCACATGTGCACTGGAGACACGACGACGTCAACCGCAGCGAGCGTCTCTGTGTTCACGGAAGTTGTCCAAACATGGACGCAGCATCGAGCACCTGGAGATTTTAAAGTTCCTCTCGTACCGGAGCCAGAACATGAACAACTTACTTGTTTTAAGGAGGAGATTGAGAAGGAGAAGGACGAGGTTTTTGGTCGTGGTGTTTTGTGGGACAGAACGTTGAAAGGAACGTGTGGATGTGGAGACGGAGCCAAGAGTGGTGAGTGGAGATGTGCTTCACTTCAGTCACATGGAGTTCATTAACAATTTTCGCCGACTTCAGCGCAGAATAGTGACGTTTGTGTCTTGTTGATAACGTGTAGGTGGATGAATGCACTTTGTCCGTTCAGACTGAAGTCACATGTCAAAAGATCAGATATGTATCAGTTTCAGGAGCACATATCCAAGTGTCCTGGGTCACATTTGAAAAAATCGGATCTGTATCATTCAGACTGTCATTAAAAGATCAGATACAGGAACATAGTGGCCAAAAAATCGGATTTGGGTCACTTCAGGCTGCAGTCTGAACGTAGCCTTTTAGTCCAGAAAATACGGTAATTCTACTTGTGAACAGAGAAAGAAAGTGACGTAAACAAAGCTGTCACCACAAAAAGAGGGAAAAGATGAGATTCACCACCACAGAAATGATGTGAACATTTTCTGCCAGTTAATCAGTCAAGATTCTGTTAACCGTTAGTTAAATTGTCAGAGACATTTGTGTGACGTTTAATTTCTTAGTCATAATGTTGTTTACAGACAAGTTAATTGAGCTGGAACACTCAGGTCAGAAAAGAGCAGTCTGTGTCAGTCTGTGACCAAAGGTTTGGAAAAGCTGAGTCCTGATCCTGCAGCAGCTTCAGTGTGTTTGTTTGGTGAGTCCTCTCGTGTGTCAGCGGAGTCTCTGTGTGAAGCTTGTGTTTGTCTGTGCACAGAGTTTAAGAAAAGAACCTCCCTGCATCAGTGACAGAGTCACACAGAGTCAAACAGAGTCAACAGAGTCAAACAGAGTCACACAGACAAACAGAGTCACACAGAGTCAAACAGAGTCACACACACAGAGTCAAACAAGAGTCACACAGAGACAAACAAGAGTCACACAGAGAGAACAGAGTCACACAGAGACAAACAGAGTCACACAGAGACAAACAAGAGTCACACAGAGACAAACAAGAGTCACACAGAGACAAACAAGAGTCACACAGAGTACAGAGTCAAACACAGAGTCACACAGAGTCAAACAAGAGTCACACAGAGTCACACAAGAGTCAAGACACAGAGTCAAACAAGAGTCACAAGAGTCACACACAGAGACAAACAGAGTCACAGAGACACAAGAGTCACACAGAGTCACACACACAGAGACAAACAAGAGTCAAACAGAGTCACACAGAGACAAACAGAGACAAACAAGAGTCACACAGAGACAAACAGAGTCAAACACAGAGTCACACAGAGTCAAACAGAGTCACACAGAGTCAAACAGAGTCAAACAGAGTCAAACAGAGTCACACAGAGTCAGACACAGAGTCACACAGAGTCACACACAGAGAGAGTCACACAAGAGTCACACAGAGTCAAACAGAGTCACACAGAGTCAAACAGAGACAAACAAGAGTCACACAGAGACAAACAAGAGTCACAGAGAGTCAGGCCCAAAGGCACAACAGCAGGAGTCCTCAGCACTGCTCTGTTCACAGCACAGGAGTGTCGAACTTTTACAGCATCTGTGACACCAGAGCAACTCATTTCACCAAAGCATAGTTTACATTATTCTTAAGGATTTAATTTAAAATCTTGACTAGTTTTTACTGTTACTGTCGCCGAGCAACCACACTGTACATACATTTAAAACATGATTAAACTAATAAAAACTAGAAAAGCACTCAGAGAGCGCAGACCTCCGCCAAGGACTACCCCCATGTTTTATATAAATTCCGATAAAATCAGTCTTCTGGATCAGATCCGGATCAGCGTTTGGAATATGAAAGAGGATCCCATTGTCCATCCCTGAGTCAAATTTCATGGGGTTTGGTCAATAATTAACCCAGATATTGAGAAACAAAATTTTTGGCCCCATTTACCACAATGTTAACTAAAATTTCAAAGTGATCCAGAATCCAGGATTTCTTCCGGATCACCCCCAAAATGAAATCAGTTCTTCCTTTTCACATTTCCAACAAATCCTGAAAATTTCATCAAAATCGGTCCATAACTTTTTGAGTTATGTTGCTAACAGACAAACAAACAAACACAACAAACAAAACAAACAGACAAACAAACAGACAAACAAACAAACAAACAAACAGACAAACGCCGGCAAAAACATAACCTCCTTGGCGGAGGTAATAAATTACCCTTATTTTGTTAAATTTTTTTTTTTTTCCATTGTAAATCAGATTTCAGGTGTTGACAAAGACGGAGGTATTCTGTTTTAAAACTCAATTCTACTTCCTGTATTTTATCAATTAAATTCTTTATTTTCGATTACAGACAATTATTCCACAGAAATTCTCATCTCTGCAGTACAATAGTTGATTAAACCAGACTGGACAGAGCAGAAAGTCAAAAAGTGCAGCACGATTATCCACAACAGTCAGATTTAAAGGTCATATATTACAAGAAAAATTGATTCTTGTGCATTTTAAGTCATGGTATAAAGTTGTTTCCTCCTCAAAAGCAGACTTTGAGTTATGTTTTGTTTCACTCACACATGTTTGAGTTCTCCTTTGTTACATCGTCTCCCAAAACCTAATTTCACTGTCGATTTATTTCACCCCAGGATTAAAGCGCGTAGATTATCTCCCGTCAAACTGCCCGCCGGTCTCTCGTGCGAGCGTGTTCACAGCTCTCCGGCCCCTCGTACGAGCAGCCGGTCCAATAAGCGAAAAGGGACGTGGGAGATTTGCAGTTTCAACTAATGGTTTCGCGAACGTTATTAAGGCAATAAATTCCTAATGACCAGACGTGTCGATGGAGCAGTCCACGGCCAGTTCTGCGTGAGTGAAAGCGTGAAGTTTGGAGCGGAGTTGAAGATTAAATATGTTTTCTACGACAGCTCTTATAAAGTCTGTGTTGTTTATATTCAGGAAATTAAAAAAGGGCCTGTTCCCTTTTTTTATTTTTTATTTTTTTTACGTATTTCAGCAAAATGTGTCTTGTATAAGCAGCTCCTGGGGTCAAAATAAGTTCACTGTGATCTGTCTGCATCCAGTTATAATGTGTTTTAAGAGTTTTATTGTCCGATTATCAGGAAGTGCACTGTTCACATGTTTGTTGTTAGCTTCACTGTTACAGCGAACTTCACTCTGGTGTCTGAAAGTTGTGAAAAGCGTCTATAAACTCATCGTGGTGAGTAATTACGATGCTCTGAATGCGGAAGGTAAGAGAGGAGTGACTTTGGACCACTGCAAACTGTTTTAAACGAAACACTGCATTTTTCGGGAATACAAGTTGCATTTTTTTCATGGTTTGGGTGTTTCCTGTGCCTTGTACTCAGTGTGGGGAGTAGGGATGGGCATGATTAATCGATATCGATTAATCGATAATTGATCATTAATCTACAAACCGAATGTAGGTTGCTGTGTGTGTCGTGACCAAACAGGTGTGTACATGTGTCTCTGCATCAGAAGGAGCGAGACACAAACAGTGGGTCAGTCTGTAACGAACCGAAGCACAAATGTGGATTTAACGATGATTTGTACAAGAAATTCCACACTTTCCGTTGCGTTGGGACAAGTGTGAGTCCATGTGCACAGTGTATAAAGCAGCACATATGTTTCTGTGTCCAGTGGGAAAAAGTTTTACCAGGTGAGAGTCGCTCAATGTCGATGACGAGGCCCCGCCCCCCTCCCCCCGTACGCTGTCCTGGTTTTGACAAACGCAAATGGACATTCGATGAAATTTTCTTAATCGATCGTCGGAAAAAGTTAACGATCAATTATTGATTAATCATTAACGTTTTTATATTAAAATGATCATCATTATTATTACTATCTGCACTACTAATCTGCATAAATAAACTCAACTTTACAACATAGAAACATCACCACTCTAGAGCCACATCAGCCCGTTTGACATTATAATGTGTTTAATTCAGTTTTGCGCAAAACTTAAATCTGCATCGCTAATTTGCATAAACTAAGTGAAGATAAAACTCCAGCTCTTGTGTCGCTGATGTGGTTCAACTTGTGTTGGATTAAAAGACATGACTCAGGTGAATACAGGTCAGTGTGACCAGATTTGTGTTTGTCAAAACCAGGACAGCGTACGGGGGGAGGGGGGCGGGGCCTCGTCATCCACATTGAGCGACTCTCACCTGGAAAAACTTTTCCCACTGGACACAGAAACATATGTGCTGCTTTATACACTGTGCACATGGACTCACACTTGTCCCGAACGCAACGGAAAGTGTGGAATTTCTTGTACAAATCCTGGTTAAATCCACATTTGTGCTTCGGTTCGTTACAGACTGACCCACTGTTTGTGTCTCGCTCCTTCTGATGCAGAGACACATGTACACACCTGTTTGGTCACAACACACACAGCAACCTACATTCGGTTTGTCGATTAAAATGAACGTAATCGATGAAATTCTTAATGATCAATTATCGACTAATCGATTAATCATGCCCATCCCTAATCGAAACTATCTGAAATATATCGTATCAAATCTTAAGCTCACTGTGTCGGGATGTAACTTCTTAATGATACCAGCCCTAATATTCAGCCTGTTGTTCTCTGTTCTATTGTTATTACTGTAACTTCACTTTCAAGATGAAATGTTGGTTCCTGGTCTCTGATTTCATAAAATAAACTTCCCCCCCAAAAATGGGATTCATAGCCATTAAATGCCATTAAATATGATTTTTTTCTTCTTCATTATGCCGTTTTTGGCTGGCGTGACTTATAGTTTGAAAAATACGGTAGTTCTGTTTTTTATGTTTTTAAGACAGTAAAAACCAGGTAGAAGTAATTGCAAAACTGTTATCTAGCAACCGCACTGTTACAAAAGGCCAAAAGCTCGTTTACTTTACACAATAGTTATGACTTCACTGACATTTTGACTTTTATTTTGTTAAAAAGGTGTTGAGAAATGTGTATCTTCTGTGTTCTGGATATACTTTTGTTTATTGATGACAGAGGGATTCAGTTTTAGAACTCAAAACCACTTCATGTGCTTTTCATCTTTATTCCAGCTTTTCTCCACCAATGTCCACTCGATTGGTGTTTGCCACGGGGCTTTTTCTCACCAAATAATAGAGTAATAATCAGAAAAACATGAAAACCAGTCGAACCTGAATCAGCGCACACACACATACACACACACAGAGAGAGGGGGAGTCTCACCTGCAGTTTGGAGGAGGGTCTAGTGTTATCTCGGCTAGTTCTTTCTGAATTCTGTGAAAGACAAAGATGATAACAATGTCAGATGTTAAATGTAAACAGATCGCTCTTATTCTGCAGACTTTTTGAGTTCTGATCTTTGCCTGTGTTTGGCTCTTGTATGAGTTTTAGATCAATAGAAAGATCAGTGATTACACGGGTCAATATTTTCAGTTACGGAAACACTGTCCACGTTGACATGATGTTTTTAATTCAGAATTAATTCTTCTGGATTAAATACTTCTGAATTAAAATATTCTCCTTCGACTTTACATGGAAACGAACAAATATCAAGATTTTAATTTTGTAAACCTCAATCCGGAATTATTATTTCCATCTAAACTCGACGAAGAATATTTGAATTCAGAACGATTTAATTGTGAATTAAAAAACATCTTGTAAACGCGGTCACTCTCACTTTTTTGTTGAAAATCAAACTCCTAAACAGAACCGTCAACGCTCACACTGATCACAGGCTCCTGAAAATGTGCTCTTTAAAGGGATAGTTCAGGTTTTTTTACATAAATCTGTGCGTCATCCCCGTGAGCAGTGTCGTGCATCAACACTGACTCACCAACGACAGCGTCCGGTGAGCCGAGATACTGGCCGTTTTCGGTGCTGACGAAAGTAGTCCGGCAAGTTGGCTGGGGACTGTATAATAAAGTGTTTTTCTTCTCAAAACAACATGTGTTCAAAAGAGTGATACATTTGCGACACAAAACCATCGTCGCCTAAAAAGTCAGACCTCATTATCACTTGGCACTATTTTCTTTCCGTTTGTATCACTGCGTGCGGCTGTCACCTGGCGGATCCATCACTTTCTACAGTTGTTTGGCAGTGTTTACATGCGCAGACCGCCGCGACGTGAGAGCTAACGTGAGAGCTAGAACCATAAGTATATGAGCTTGTATAAGACACATAAGAATATATTGAAAAAATTGTGCGAACTCTTGATTCTCCAGGCTGTAACAACAAAAATCTGGCTGAATCTCCACACACACTTCACCGTTTTCCTGTCACGGACTTTGCGCTGAGGAAACTTTGGCTTCTTGCCTTTTGGTTTCAACGTGGAAACCAAACCAGGTAAGAACGAAGAATTGCCGCTGTGTTTACAAGCAGACAGGCTCAAGAATCAGCTGTAAATCACTCAGTGTCATATCACCAGTGAAGCTTCTACAAAACATAACTTTATAAGTGTCAGAATAATTTTATTATCCCATATTTGCTAAATACTTGTGTGATATTCTAGGCCTATGAGTTAACCATTTATGTACTACAATTCTTTGATTTATAATGTACCAATCACTTGTATGAAAATGAATAACCTCTGTGTGTTTGACAACTGTGTGCAGTGTCCTATCGCTCTAGTGAACCTCGAGATGATTCCTCACATGAAGCCAACTCCCACTGTCACACATGAAGAGTTATGATGGTGTCTGACCAAACCTAAGGCACCTCCTGATTGTTAATCATGTTTTATGTGTTTATACTATGCTTAGCTGCATCAGTTTCTTATTATATCTTGGCTGTTTCCCCTTCCCCTTGAGAATTATCATTCTGTAACTAGGGCCTCCTAATGAAATAAAAAGGAGGAGAACAGCCTTGAGTCATCAGAACGTGTGGAGACTGTTGGTTTGTGATGCCCACTCTCTGCCCGTTCTCCTCGCGAGTAAAACTGAATTAATCTCTTGTCTTTCTTCTTGTTTACAATGTTTAGATAAACCTAACAATAAGTCGACTGTTATTACTATTGTAAATGTCTCGTACACTGTGGGCAGCAGCTACGTGGACGTGTGGATGATTCATGTTTCTGTTAGTCGTCCATGCTTCAGTCACAGTGGAGGCTCCATGTTCGCTGTATACGAGTTTATAAATGACGTGATGGTGATTGTGGCTCACTCGGTCTCTCACGGCTCCAGCTTCAACTTGTACCACTTCTCTGTCTCTCTTCTCTCTCTCTGCCTGTTCTAACTCCATCTGGTGAAATTCGGCATCAGTATATTCGGGTTCACAAAGATCTCCCCTTGGCTTTGTGGTAAAGGCAAAGTCTTTATTGTCGGTGTCGTAGTTAAACATGTTGTCGCTAACATTCCGAGCAGTAAACAAAGTGAACCAGGCGCGGCTGTCACCTGGCGGCCGCGCGCAGTGATACGAACGGAAAGAAAATAGCGCCAAGTGATAATGAGGTCTGACTTTTTAGGCGACGATGGTTTTGTGACGCAAATGTATCACTCTTTTGAACACATATTGTTTTGAGAAGAAAAACGCTTTATTATACTGTCCCCAGCCAACTTGCCGGACTACTTTCGTCAGCACCGAAAACGGCCAGTATCTCGCCTGAACCTGAACTATCCCTTTAAATCAGTTTCTGTGTGTTTTCAGACGATCTTTAACAGTTTTTGTCAGTGTTTGTTGATGTGTGTGTTGTGTCTCTGTGGTAACTACATGTAGAACATCCCCAGCGCGACGTCACGTGGTTAAAATAAAATAATCTATAATCAGTGGTGTCTCCTCCTGACCTCTTGGCGCTGGTGGAGAGCTTGGCGGCCGTCTTGCTGGAGATCTTGGTCTCCTTCTTCTTGGGCTGGGCAGATTCTCGGTCCTGCTCTGGAGGAGGAGGCTCTCTCTGCTCGATGTCGGAGCTGCCCCCGCTCGTGCTCGGGCTGTCATCTGCACGCTGCACTTCACTCGACATCCTGGGCCCTGACACCAGACGAGGAGAAAACACAACGAGGATGAACAAGAGCAGAAGAGGAGAAAACACAACCAGGATGAACAGGAGCAGAGGAAGAGGAGACAAGGAGTGGAGAAGAAGAGGAGAGGAGAAACAGAGGAGCAAAAGAAGGACAGAGAAGGAGGAGCGGAACAGAAGAGGAAAAGAGGGACAGAGGGGGAACAGAAGGAAAGGAACAGAGGAGGAAAAGAGGGACAGAGGGGGAGAGGAGGAACAGGAGGAGGAGAGGAACAGAAGGACAGAGGTGGAGAAGGAAAGGAGAAGAGGAGGAAAGGGACAGAGGAGGAGAGGAGATGAGGACTGGAGGAGAGGAGGAGAGGGACAGAGGAGAAGTACAGAGGAGGAGGAACAAGAGAGGAACGGAAGAAGAAAAGAAGGACAGAGGAGAAGAGGAGGAACAGGAGAAAAGGAGGAGAGGGACAGAGGAGAAGAGAGAGAGGAGGAGGAGGAGGGAGGAGGGACAGAAGGAGAGGAAGAGAAGAGGGACAGAAGAGAGGAACAGAGAGAGGAGGAGAGGGACAGAGGAGGAGGAGAGGAACAGAGGAAAAGAGGGACAGGAGAGGAGGAAGAGGAGAGAGGACAAAGGGGGAGAGGAGGAACAGGAGGAGGAGAGGAACAGAAGGACAGAGGTGGAGAAGGAAAGGAGAAGAGGAGGAAAGGGACAGAGGAGGAGAGGAAAAGAGGAACAGAGAAGGAGGAGAAGAGGGACAGAGGAGGAGAGGAGATGAGGACTGGAGGAGAGGAGGAGAGGGACAGAGGAGAAGTACGGAGGAGGAGGAACAGGAGAGGAACGGAAGGAAGAAGAAAAGAAGGACAGAGGAGAAGAGGAGGAACAGGAGAAAAGGAGGAGAGGGACAGAGGAGAAGAAGAGGAGAGGGAAAGAGGAGGAACAGAGGAGGAGAGGAGGGACAGAGAAGGAGGAGGAAAAGAGGGACAGAGAGGGAGAGGAGGAGACAAGAAGAGGGACAGAGGAGGAGAGGAGGAACAGGAGAAGAGGAGGACAAGAGGAGGAGGAAAAGAGGAGGAGGAGAGGAACAGTGGAGGAAAAGAGGGACAGGAGGAGGAGAGGAGAAGAGGGACAGAGGAGGAGAGGAGCAACAGAGAAGGAGGAAAAGAGGGACAGAGGAGGAAGGAGATGCGCAGAAGAGGAGAGGAGGAACAGATGAACAAGGAGAAGAGGCACAAAGGAGCAAGAAGAGGAGGAACAGAAGAGGTAACGAACAGAGGAGAGGAAGTACAAAAGAAGAAGAAGAAGACATAACAGCGGAGGAGAGGAGGGAGGCACAACTCAATGACAAACACACAAAACACACAAAACACACACACTCCCTTTGTTCTCACACAAAACAAACTCTACTTTACCGGAGAAGAAAAGAGGAAGAGTGAAAAACTGTCCAAATAATTTCCCTTGTGGATCAATAAAGTTTAAGATCAATAAAGTGACTAAATCTATTTTAAATCCGACTTCCTCCATCGTATTTTTAAACCGTCGGTCATGTGTCAGCAATAATCACGACTTTACATAATATTTCAGTTATTAAAATGAAATTCGACAGAAACAAAATCAAAAACGAAACTTTGCAGGGGAAGTTTGCAGGGGATGTTTTCGTCACGTCATCAATTCTTGTTACTAAATTTACAAAATATTTTATGATTCTGACTTATTTAGTGAATATCTACAATTAATTTACATGACAATTCCAACATAAACTGGCAAAATTGTTAAAAAATATAGGTCTAATTATGTCACGAAAACAAATATTGAAGTTCGAAACATCGCTGACGAAAATATAAAACTGAAACTAATTTAAGACACCGATACCGAAACTGAAGAGGCGATTTAAACCACAAAAGTGATTCTAAAACTAAAACATTATTAAAAATCACGAGCTGCAAAAAACAAACAGCACAATGAAACACTTAATATTTAGTTTGAATCTAAAATGACTCACTGAAGTTATTAATTTGACCTTCTAAAGCTTAAATCTTTTCTAAGTGTCTGTTTTTTATGAGTGTAATTAAAGATAAGTAATCCGTGTGTCGTTTTTCAATATAAAACTAAAAATAAGAAAATGAAAAGACAATGATTTTCTTTGTTATTTGTCTCCAAAACCAAAATGAAAAAAAAAAAAAAAAAAGATAATGATTTGTTTTTTCAGTTTTCGATTTTGTGTTTAAATGAAAAATGGAATAAAAAAAAAAGGACGACAGACGTTTCTCGTTTCCATGACTTAAAATGAGATGCCGGACTGAAACCATAAACCATTTTCAGTCCTGGTCTGGTCCCGGTCTCAGTCCCGGACTGAATCACAGTCTGATCCTGGTATGGTCCAAGTCCTGGTCTAAGTCCTGGTCTCAGTCCTCGTCTGAATCACGGTCTTGTCCTGGTCTGAATCCTCGTCTGAATCCCGGTCTCAGTCCCAGTCTCAGTCCCGGTCTCAGTCCCAGTCTGAATCACAGTCTGGTCCTGGTCTCAGTCCTGGTCTGGTCCTGGTCTCAGTCCTGGTCTGGTCCTGGTCTCAGTCCTGGTCTGAATCACGGTCTGGTCCTGGTCTGGTCCGACGAGAGCAACAAGAGCAGCAGAGGAGACGAAGACGAGGAGGAGGAGACGAGGAGGAGGAGGAGGAGAGGAGGAGGAGGAGGAGGAGGAGGAGGAGGAGGGACAGACGAGGAGCGGTGATAATAATAAAATTATGAAACGAGTGTAATTAAGGGAAATTGTTCTGCTCTAATGTGAGTCTAATGTGAGTTTAATTTGTGTTTTGGTCGTTTTTAAAGCAGCTTTTAATGTGTTTTATTTTACGCTCCTCTGGTTTAGACCTGGTTTAGTCCAGGTTTAGCTAGTCCTAATTTAGGCCTGGTTTAGGTCTGGTTTAGAACTGACATAGTCCTTAGTCCTGGTTTAGACCTGGTTTAGTCCTGATTTAGACCTGGTTGTAGTCCTGATTTAGACTTGGTTTAGTCCTGATTTAGACTTGGTTTAGTCCTGATTTAGACCTGGTTTAGACCTGGTTAAGGCATGAAATGGATCTGGTTTAGGATGTGATTTAGACCTGATATTGTCCTACTTGAGACCTGGTTTACACCAGATATAGTTATCTTTTAGTCCTTGTTTAGTCCTGGTTTAGTCCCGGTTTAGACCCGGTTTAGACATGAAATAGAACTGGTTTAGGCCTAGTTTAGACCTAGTTTGGACCGAGTTTAGCCCTGGTTTAGTCCTGATTTAGACTTGGTTTAGACCTGGTTTAGTCCTTACTTAGACCTTGTTTAGTCCAGGTTTAGTACTGGTAGACCTAGACCTAGTTTGGACCTGAAATAGACCTTGTTTAGAGCTGGTTTAGACCTGGTTTAGGCCTGAAATAGATCTGGTTTAGACCTGGTATTGCCGTGGTTCAGTCCTATTTTAGCCCTAGTTTAGTCCAAGTGTAGTCCTGGTTTAGCCCTAGTTTAGCCCTGATATGGTCTTAATTTAGACCTGGTTTAGTTCTATTTTAGCCCTTATTTAACCCTAGTTTAAACCTGGCTTAAACCTGTCTTAAACCTGGTTTAAACCTGGCTTAGACCTGGTTTTGTACCTGGTTTAGACCTGTTCTAGCCCTAGCTTTGGACCTGGTTTAGACCTAGTTTAGGCCTAAAATAGACCTGGTGTAGCCCTGGTTTAGACCTGAAGTAGACCTAGACCTGGTTTAGATCTACTTTAGATCTAGTTTAGACCTGATATAGTACTATTTTAGCCCTGGTTTATCCCTGGTTTAGCTCAAATTGATCCAAAACAGAGACACCTGGGACATTTCTTGTATAATCTGGGACAAATCAGTGGTTTTGTATAAATCTGTGGGGACAGGGGACACAGGACTCAGAACTGGGACTGTCCCGGGTAAAAAGGGGACGTCTGGTCTCACTAAACCGGCCGCTGTCGGTCACAACGCTGACCCGAGTCTGTGATTATGGGATTAGGTCCAGAGGAGAGGACGGACTGAGGGAGGAAGAGAAAAAGAGGAAGAGAAAAAGAGGCACAGACAGATCAATAAAACAGAAAGTAAAAGTTGGCCTCAGGGACTTTTCAGTTTCTTTTTTTAGCTTTTGTCCTCCCAAACACAAACGTTTTTTTACACAGAACATCGAACCAAGTCTGAAACTGACTGTAACAAATCACAACACACACGTTTTAAATCTGACTGGCGCTAATGATAAAATACAGTAACCAGATTGTTAAAAATAATAATAATAAATGCTCCTCTGGTTTAGACCTAGTTTAGTCCTGGTTTAGACCTTTTTTAGACCTTATATAGACATGATATAGTCCTAGTTTAGACCTAGTTTAGACTTGATATAGGTCTATTTTAGCCCTAGACCTGTTTTAGTCCTAGTTTAGTCCTGTTTTAGACCTGAAATAGACCTGATATAGTCCTAGTTTAGACCTGGTTTAGTTCTATTTTAGCCCTGGTTTACTCCTGGTTTAGACCTGGTTTAGCCCTAGTTTAGACCCGGTTTAGATCTGCAATAGACCTAAAATAGACCTAGTTTAGATCTGTTTTAGTCCTGGTTTAGACCTGAAATAGACCTAGTTTAGTCCTGTTTTGGTCCTAGTTTAGGCCTGGATTTGCCTTGAAATAGTCCTAGTTTAGCCCTGGTTTAATCCTGGTTCAGACCTGGTTTAGTTCTGTTTTAGACCTAGTTTAGCCCTGGTTTAGACCTGAAACAGACCTGGTTTAGCTCTAATTTAAACCTGGTATAGACTTGGTATAGATTGATATAGTTCTGGTTTAGACCTGATATAGACCTGATACAGATCTGATATAGTCCTAGTTTAGACCTGGTTTAGACCTGAAATAGACCTGATGTAGACCTGATAAAGTCTTAATTTAGACCTGGTTTAGTTCTATTTTAGCCCTAGTTTAGTCTTGGTTTAGCCCTGGTTCAGATCTGGCTTAGACATGGTTTTATACCTGGTTTAGACCTAGTTTTGGACCTGGTTTAGGCCTAGTTTAGACCTGAAATAGACTTGATTTACTCCTGGTTTAGCCCTGTTTTTTGCCCTGGTTTAGTCCTGGTTTAGCAATGGTTTGGACCTGGTTTGGACCTAAAATAGACCTGATTTATTTCTGGTTTAGACCTGACCTGACCTATTTCTGGTTTTATATCTAGTTTAGACCTGGTTTAGTCCTAATTTTGGACCAGTTTTTTTGCCCTGGTTTAGTCCTGGTTTTTTGCCCTGGTTTAGTCCTGGTTCAGTCCTGGATTTTGCCCTGGTTTAGTCCTGGTTCAGTCCTGGATTTTGCCCTGGTTTAGTCCTGGTTCAGTCCTGTTTTTTGCCCTGGTTTAGTCCTGGTTTAGACCTGATATTGTCCTGGTTTAGTCCTAGTTTACCTCAAATTGGTCCAAAACAGTCTCACCTGGGTCATTTCTTGGACAAAACACAGCACCAACATAAACAATAACGACAAAACGATGCCTCTTTCTCACTTTAGGCCTACCGCGGCTGTAACAACGTGCAACCATCTTAAAACAGACACAAAGGCCATTTTAACTGAGATTTAAAAAAGGTAAAATAGTGAAACAAAAGCGTTTATAGGTAAAAGTGACAGCGCCAGTGTTTGTGCTTTCAGGGGGCGTTACGTGACACAACCGACGGCTAATGTTCTATAGCCGCTCCGCTACCCTCCGGGACACCCAAACATCGCTAATAAAACCGCTTTAACGGTGTTATAAAGAAATATGGCGTGGTTTTACGGGTTTTATTTGTGTAGTATCGGTAGAAAACAAACAATAAACGTCGGGAACGATAAAGAAAGGAGCGAGCGCCCGACAAAGACAATCACAAACACGGGAGCTAGCTAACGCGAGAAAAGTAGTCCGGCGGCGCGCTGCAACGCCGACGGCCGCCGAGGGGGATTTAAAAGCGGGGTAAAGAGGAGACGAGAGAGGCCCCCCCTGCTCCGGAGAACCAGAGCCGATGAAGAGTGGAGATGTTTGGGTGGAAATAAGAGGAATTTTAGCCCGAGTTTAGTCCTGGTTTAGTCCTGGTTTAGTCCTGGTTTAGACCTGAAATAGACCTGGTTTAGACCTGGTTTAGACCTGAAATAGACCAGATTTAGACCTGAAATAGACCTGGTTTAGTCCTGGTTTAGACCTGGTTTAAATCTGATATAGTTCTATTTTAGCTCTAGTTTAGTCAGTCCTGGTTAAGTTCTGGTTTAGTCCTAGTTTAGACCTGAAATAGACCTGGTTTAGTCCTAGTTTAGACCTGGTTTAGACCTGGTATAGTCCTAGTTTAGAACTGATATTGTCTTATTTTAGCCCTAGTTGTTTTTAGCCCTGGTTTAGACCTGATTTAGATCTTAAATAGACCAGATTTAGCTGTAGTTTAGACCTGGTTTAGATCTGAAATAGACCTGGTTTAGTCCTGGTTTTGATCTGAAATAGACCTGGTATAGTCCTAGTTTAGCCTTAGTTTTTTTTAGCCCAAGTTTAGACCTGGTTTAGCCCTAGATGTTTTTAGCCCTTGTTTAGACCTGAAATAGACCAGATTTAGACCTGGTTTAGCCCTAGTTTAGACCTGGTTTAGATCTGAAATAGACCTGGTTTAGTGCTGGTTTAGTCCTAGTTTAGACCTGGTATAGACCTGGTTTAGTCCTAATTTAGCCTTAGTTTTTCAGCCCTGGTTTAGACCTGAAATAGACCTGGTTTAGCCCTAGTTTATTTGTGGTTTAGACTTGGTTCAGTCCTGGTTTAGACCTGCTTAGACCTAAGATAATCCTTGTTTTGTCCTGGTTTAGACCTGAAATAGTCCAGGTTTATTCTTGGTTTAGCCCTAGGTTTTTAGCCCTAGTTTAAACCTGGTTTAGTCCTAGTTTAAACCTGAAATATTCCTGATTTAGACCAGATACACACCTGATATAGGCCTAGTTAAGTCCTGGTTAAGACCTGGTTTAGTTCTTGATGAGACCTGATTTAGCTCTAGTTTAGACCTGGTTTGGTCCTGGTTTAGTCCTGGTTTAGAAACAGCCTCCAGGTGGGCCCGCTGTTCAACGGGGGAATCGTTAGAAGTCACACCGGGAGAGGAGCGTTGTCCGCGGGGGTCACTCTCCGCTCTCCCCCGCGCGGTACAAAGACAAATCCCCACACTTCCTCCGCCGCTGCCGACACAACTCCCTCATTTTCCCCGCATAGATAAACACACTTTCCGGGCGTGTTTGCTGGACCAGTCTGGGGGGAGAACCGTGTGATAATAACAACCAGGCGGGCCCGCTGAAAGAAAGTGCCCGGGACAAGCGACACAACACCGCGGGAGGGAAGAGCAGCGTCCGCGGCGGCGAGACTGGAGACTGACCCCCGCACGGTTGGAAAGAAATAGTCCCACGTTTCCACCGACATCGCGGGGGGGGATAAACTAACCGGGGGGTAATATCTGGACCAATTCCGGCGGTGGTTTGTGCGGTAATAGGAGCCAGGTGGGCCCGCTGAAATAAAACACCAGGAGAAGCGAAACAACACCGGGGAGGGGGGAAGAGCGGTGTCCGAGGCGGCGTCAGGGTCCACGCTGCGCGGCTTGGATTGGAGAGTGACCCCGGCGCGGAGCAAAAAAATAGTCCCACGCGTTCAGCCTCCTCTTCTTCTCCGCGGGGGGGAAAACCGCACTTCCCCGGGGGTGTTTGCAGGATCGCTGGGTCGTGGCGTGTTTTTTTTTTTTTTTTTTCCACCATCGGCTGTGGAGCTTGCTCGCTTGTTTGCTTACCTGTCGATTGGGCGTCGGTGCTGCGGTTCGGCTCGGCGCGCTGGGTCCCCGGGAGTCGGTGCCGCTGTCCCCGCTGTCCCCGCTCGGTTCTCCCGGTGTCCGTGCGCTTGGACCGGAGGCGGATGGAGGCAGAGGCTTCGGGCTGCAGGAGAAAGGCGATTACGGCTCACGGACTCGCAAGGCTCAGACCGAGGCAGCCCCAGACCAGACCGCCCCCGTGCGCGCTCCCGGTCGATCTGTGCGCGGTCCCGACGACGCTCGTGCACGCGGGGCTGTGGTGTAAAAAGCGCCAGGCCGGAGTCGGGAGCGCGCGCTGATGAGGGGGTAATTACACGGGAATAGTGCGTGAAAGGAGCGGGCTCCATGTGGTTCAGGCGGTGTGAGAAAGTCTGTTTGGAAATGGAAACTTGAGCCAGCGCTGTTCTCTTGGCCCAGAGATCTCAGACTTTAGACTCCACTGTTCTTTTGGCATAGAAATTTCAAACTTTAGTCTAGAGATCTCAAACTTTAGTCCAGAGATCTCAAACTTTAGTCCAGAGATCTCAAACTTTAGACTAAGATCTCAAACTTTAGTCTACACTGTTCTCTTGGCCCAGAGATCTCAAACTTCAGACTGCACTGTTCTCTCCAAAGACCTCAAACTTTAAAGAGAGATCTCAAACTTTAGACTCCATCATTCTTTTGGCCCAGAGATCTCAAACTTTAGTCTGAGATCTCAAACTTTAGTCTGAGATTTCAAACTTTAGTTCAGGGATCTCCAACTTTAGTCCAGAGATCCCAAACTTTAAACTGGGAGCTCAAACTTTAGACTCCACTGTTCACTTGGTCCAGAGATCTCAAACTTTAGACTAAGATCTCAAACTTTAGTCTACACCAGGGGTCTCAGACTCGCGGCCCGGGGGCCAACTGCAGCCCTCGGAAGGATTTTTTGCGGCCCTCCACTTAATTCCAAAGAATAATGTCAGTGCGTCCAGCGGTAGATGTACGCACAGTCCCACCCCCCCACCGCGGGCCGCACTGACAGATGAAGCTGCAATCGGTGCCATACAGATTCACAACAACAGATTAATAGCGCAGTTTACATCCCAAAACTCAACTTACAGCAGTTGTGAAGCAACGAGTCTAAGTGGATCTGTTAATACGAGTACACGTGCACATACACGTGCACATACGGCGTCACCGAAGAACCAAAACAAACCTCATATGGTGGTACACGTGTGCGCACTTCACTTTACGCTCCCACAGCCACAGCATCAGAGCAGAGGAGGCGCTGACACAATTCCCCTGTTCATAAGTATGGGACCTTTATTGGAGGGGCTAATAAGAAATAAAAAGACATTGACAGTCTGTTTACCTGCTCAACACTCGGTGCGTAACTTGCTGGCAACACGATGACCAAGCTCCACATGTGCGTCGCCGAAATCCACGCGCACTCAGCGGCAAACACAGCTGTCCCATCAATATGCAAGCACCACAAAACTGCACTGATCTATTCCAGAGGCTTGGCGACATGTTAGCAAAAACTACGAGGCAAAAACAAGCGTCTTCCATCCATGTTTGACATACGAGAAGCAGATACACTCCAGTGTGGCGCTTTCACACCGGCAAACGAACCAAAACTGGTCCGATTAACGAGCCTCTGTATCCCGGTAGAACAGCGATATCTCCAGTAACCAATACTGATGTTCCCTGTTAATACCGCGGGCCGTCCTCATCTTATCACCATGAACTCATAAAACAGCAACATGTAGAACTTTGTACAAACTCACCGCATCAGCCCAGAGTTCGGGTAACAGCAGCAGCCAACAGCGCTCACAGTAGCGCGCAGCTCCTCAGGACGGGGCTGGGGTCTGGTCCTTGGTTTTCTGTCGTCCTACAAGCGCGTTGGTCAGATGGTCCGAAGGCTTCATCCTCCATGTGCTGGTTCCAGACGGTGGCGAGCAAGACCAGTGCGCAATGACAGGGTCTGAGCGGGTACGTTCCGCCGTCTGCGCGCTGGTTCCGTGCGGGGAAAGTGAGAATGCGCTGTGGACTACAGGTCCGGGTGGGCTGCTCTGGTCCTCCGCGCTCAAGAACCGCGGCTGGTTCCGAGGTGGTGCAGCATCCGGACAGAAGCATGAGTCCAGTTTAGTTGGTGTCCGTCCTCCGCGCATTTGGTTCTTCCCGGGGAAAGCGCCTTTCACTCCCCGCTCCACGTCATCTGAGCCCGGACAGAACCGGAGCTGCATCTTCGGGACTCTGATTTGGATCTAGTCCGACTGTATTTCTCACACTAGGCTAAAAGCAGGACATTTTTTAAAGGTGAATCAATTGAATGGGCGATTGCCTATTGCCATAAAATTATCTTTTTAATTAAAGTCTAAAATAACAAATGCTGGTTCCTACATGATCACGGGGAACACCGGGACCTGTGCAGGTCCGGAACAGAAATACACCCCCCCAACTTTGACTCACTCTGGAGCCACACGTTCTCACACTGGTACTTGCTCTGATCTTGTTACATTCTCTGTATTGGCCATTGTTGGTAAAATAATTCGAAAATGAATCGCAGCTGAATCTGGACAACAATCTGTTACTGCGCTGGAGTCGTACAGCGCGTCATTTCAGGCAAAGGAGACGCGTTTCTCCCATGATGCATTTCGAATAGTTCGTTTGGACCTGCTGTCTATGGTTTGGACCCGGGTTCGCGTTCACACCAGTGTGAAAGTGTGTGAAAGCACCATCAAACTACAGGTCAAGGCTCACTGATGAGCATCTTCAATCTATCCTGAGGATCTCATGTGCTTCCTCCTGCAAGTCAAATATCTCTCAGCTGTACAAGATGAAGCGTAGCCAGGTTTCAACCAGCAAGAAGTAGGCAAAAGAAGAAGAGTAGACGTATTAGTTTAAACTTACGTTCTTAAAGGTTGTATAGAGGATTTTTTAAGGGAAGAGAAATACAGCGACAGTCCTTTTTCAAACGTGCATGCGTGACACCACCTTCCTCCTCCACAACTCCCTCAGTAGAAACACCTCCTCCCGCCTCTTCACTCTAGAAATCACGTTTGTTTACAGCCAGTGCACGTTCAGAATTACTGTTGAAGTGACCTGTCTAGAAATAATTTTGCGATCGACGCGTCTTCAGTCTTTAGACCCTTCGTCTGCTTCAGTCGCACCATCTCTGGAAGGAATCTTCAAGAATCACCTCAGTTTGGTTTTGCTCCTTTTCCCCTTCTCTTCTTCTTTCAGTGACCTCAAAAACTGACTTTCTTTTGCGGCGAACTGGTCGTGGATTCTCGTCCGCCATCGCAACAGAGTTTGTGCGAATTGCGTGGAAGCTGCAGTTTGAAAAAGCCTCTAAGAATTGCTGCATAAACCACGTAATCCCAGCGCGCCACGAGTCAATTACTCTAGAAATGTAGGGAGATTGATTGACGACCTAACAGCCAATAGAAAATGAGGGAGCCTGGTTGTCTATTGGCTGGTGTTTATCTGGCTTCACTACGTCCACAGTTGATAGATTTTCATTCTTTTTTTTTTTTTTTTGGTCATCATAATTACAAGGCTACTGCGTCTCTGTAGTGGTATTTTAAACTTTCATTGACAATTTGAAACTGAAAAAAAATCCTCCATACAACCTTTAAAGGTTGTATAGAGGATTTTCCAAGGAACGAGAAATCCAGCGACTGTTTGTCCTTTTTCAAATGTTGCGCATGCGTGAAACCACCTCCCCTCCCCTACAGCTCCTACGTAGAAACGCCTCCTCCCTCCTCCTCCTTACGCCACAAACAGGTTTGTTTACAGCCGCTGCACATGACTTGTAAACAACTAACTACAGTGTTGGTTAGGCAAGACGGAAAAGTGAGGAGCGGGGGGAGGGGGTGTGCGGACATTTCGTTCACGGACGAGAAGTGAGGAGCAGGGAGAGGGAGAGAGGAGAGGGGAGAGGGGAGCGGTGCGCGGAGATTCCGTGCGAATGAACTAGCTACAACACGTAGCAGCAAGTGGACTCTTTCTTTGCCTTGAAAATTACGTTTTCAGACATAGGATATCGCTTTCGTGTCCTGAAAAACGTTTGTCTCGCTCTTGGAAATAAAGTACGTTTTCATAATAAGCAGAAGTTTCCTGTCCAGGAGTAATTTGTGGACCAGTGGTTCAGTCTTTAGACCCTTCGTCTGCTTCAGTTGCGCCATCGCTGGAATGAATCTATAAGAATCACCTTAGTTTGGCTTCGCTGCTTTTCCCCTTGTCTTCTTCTTTCAGCGACCTCAAAAACGGACTTTCTTTTGCGGCGAACTGCTCCTGGATTCTTGTCGCCATTGCAACAAACTTTGTGCGAACTGCGAGGAAGATATAGGTCAAAAAAAGCCGCTAAGAACTGTTGCGTTGGTGGAGTAAACAGTGTCTGTGCGTCTTGCGTCTGTGGACTGTGTGACAGTCGTACGTAAACCACGTACCGGCGGCGCAGGCAAGTCAGTTACACTAGAAACGTAGGGAGACTGATTGACAGCCTGTCAGCTCACAGATAACGAGGCAGTGTCGTTATCTATTGGCAAATGTTTAGCCCCACCACGTCCAGAGTTGATGAATTTTTATTCTCTTTTTTTTGGTCATCATAATTACAAGGCTCCTGCATCTATAATCTATCACTGACAACTTGAAACAAAAAAAACAAAACAAAAAATCCTCCATACAACCTTTAATACATTTTCATGTTCTGAACTGTTATTAAAGATTAAGAAAGTGTGTTGCGTGTTGTTCTTTCTCTCTCTTCATTTCCCGTGCAACCGCTATTTATCGAATACTCAATGCGGCCCAGCCTCACTCAGACTTTATCTAATGTGGCCCCCAGGTAATTTGAGTTTGAGACCCCTGCTCTAGAACAACCAAACACACAACAAAACCTGCCCATGTTCCTCTGATGCTGCTGAAGTCAATGACAGTGTGCCTGGTGTCATGGCAGCATAGGTACTGTTACTATAGGGGTCACGTGACGGTGCATAGCCTCTATTGTTTGGGGTTTAGGTCATCAAAATC